TGGCCTCTATTAGCTGTATCTCCAAGAAAAAAGACCAAACTCTCTTGCAGTCATGCTTTTCATTTGCCTGATGCTGTGGGAGCTCTCCCAATCTTCAAGTATAGAGCTGCTAGCCACACCCTCAATGCAATGGACCTGGGCCATTCACAAAAGTTTTATTCACAAATTTCTCTCTTTTCACTCATTTGCGAAAGTTTCTACCCTCAAAAGTTTTGAGCTATACGGCATTTTAGGGGGAAACATAAAGTAGGGGGAACTTAGAGTAGAGGGGGAACTTAGAGTAGAGGGGGATTTCCTCCTTTCCCACCCCCCCTGTATGATACCTTGGCCACATTGACTTTTATAAGCCAAAACTTTTCTAAAATTTTTCTACATACATGTACATGTACCTGTACAACCCAATGCATGTACACTGTACAAAACATTGGAGTAATATCAGACAAATTAATGATTAATTACATGTAGATCCTTACCCAGTCAGTGCAGTCCTCAGGGTCAAAGGTCATGGCAGGTAGTCCTAAATGAGATGAGTCCTTTGCTAATCTATTGGAGAACTCTTCCCCAGTACCAGTTTGAGACCCATACAGAATCAATACCCTTTTCTTTCGGGTTTTCATTTTATCAATAAAACTACCAGACGTGCTCAGTGAGGAGGAATAAACAGGAGAAGAAATCTGTTTTATACTAATAAAGAAAAAGAGAAATCGGCAAACAGTCATTAAAGACTTCATCCATTGAAAATTTTAAACTGTATTTTAATTTTTGTGCTCACGTTAAATTCATCAAATTTCAAAACCCAGTCTCAAAGCACAAAAATTAAAAATCTCACAAGCATATGCAGTATGTGTGAGATTGGCATTCCACAAGTGACAAGGTTTAAAGGCAAACGTCGTAGATCATGTGAGCAGAATTGTAAACTTGTCATAATTAATATTAAAACTTTATCTCTAAAATATTGCTGTAATATTGAACAAGTAGGGTCAAATACAACGTACAGCGTGTACATACCGTAGGTCAGGATATATTCGCGGCTGCAATTATTCGCGGTCATAAAAAAATTTCAATTAAAACCATGGAAACTGAGGTGTTATTTTAATTGAAAACAGCGCGATAGTGAAGAAAAGCACCTTGCTGCAGTGTTCTTGAGCTGTTGTTCTTCTTGTGTCACTAAGCCTTGGGTTCTTTGGAGCTGCTTTACCAGTTCTTTTGAGAACTAGTGCCTCGCAATATTTTGGGACTCACCACCCATTCTAGTTAGTGTTTATTAACTTGGGCATGGTTTATTATCACCAGCACACGGACCAGCAACAATTTGTAGCAAAGAGGCTGAAAGAGCTCTGAGGTAGCGGTCCATACAAGAAGTTAACACATAGAAAAGGACTTGCTATTGGTGAATGGCTCCACTATAGCTGCTAAAGAACAGATGAATAGCTGAACACTAAACACGTGGTCTTATTGTCATAGCAACACTCTAACAGTTTCCATGGTTTTTAATTGAATTTTTTATGACCGCAAATAATTGCAGCCACGAATATATCTTGACCTACAGTATGTCATACATGAAACCTTGCCATTATGTGGCATGACTTTTAGTTTTTGATCCAAAGCACATAATTTAAAACACTCAAAAAAGGAAACCTACATGTAAAACCATGTACGTGTATGTCTACATAAAACACATTACACACACATGTAAGGATACATGTACATGTACATGTATGTATACACATCATCACTTTTGATTGTTCACTTACACTGGATTAATTTGCAGCTTTTTAACCCTCTCGTCATCTCCTCTTGCTCTCCTCCTAAACTTTCTAACTATCAGGAAAAGGACGAGAATGAAGACTCCTAATAAAAAGACATCCAAGTAACTGAAATATGAAGACTCTCCATTATGAGATGACGCCATGTTGAATCGGCGTGGCTCTTAAATTAAGAGAGGAGTGG